CCGAGGGTTGTCTTTTGGTCTTGTTTATGGTTTCCTTTGCTGTGCAAAAGCTTTGAAGTTTCATGAGGTCCCATTTGTTTATTTTTGTTTTTATTTCCATTTCTCTAGGAGGTGGGTCAAAAAGGATCTTGTTGTAATTTATGTCATAGATTGTTCTGCCTACACATTGAAGTATAAAAATCATGTGATCATCTCAATAGCTGCAGAGAAAGCTTTCAACAAAATTCAACACCCATTTATGATAAAAACCCTGCAGAAAGTAGGCATAGAGGGAACTATCCTCAACATAATAAAGGCCATATATGACAAACCCACAGCCAACATCGTCCTCAATGGTGAAAAACTGAAACCATTTCCTCTAAGATCAGGAACAAGACAACGTTGCCTACTCTCACCACTATTACATGCTAGAGTTACAGGAACAAGAATGAAACAGCCCAAGTATCCCAGTTCTCAGGGGGTTTACAAATATATGGAAATAAGTATATAAGTATAATAAATAGATAGATATAATTTCAAGCATTGCTAAGTACTTTGGAGAGAAAGAAAGCAGGGAAAGGAGAGTAAATCAGTTCCAGAAAGGCCTATTGTTTGCATTATATATATAGTTAAATCAATAAAACAAACAAACCCTGAGCCCTCTCAATTTCCTAGAAGTTACAGAGGTTGAGAGAAGGATAATTGTCAGTAATGCAGAATCAAGAATGAATGTGAAATTCAGAAGATTGCCTTAGACCATAACCCTGGTCAGAAATTAGACATGGATCATTCTTAAATGTTCATTCACACCTGGTTTTGATATTTTCATGGTGTGAGAAAGTTTTAGATCTGGCTTTAACTCTGATTACCCATAGTTTTAAAATTTTTTCTTCAGTCAAAATGGATATTTGGAGTTCTACAGATTAATGTATTTTATTTCAGTTATTCAGTTATTGCTTATTTGAAGCTCCTTTTTGGGTAATTTTCTGGTGGCTGACTCATTCTCAGTCTAAACTTTACTTCCAGGCTGAATTTACTGTTGTTATTTTTTAAATTTGTACTACCCTGTCATCCAAACAACTTCACAGAAAGAAACCCTATTAATTTGAAATACATACTGTTTCGTTACACCCTGTCCTACCATGATATTCAAACTTCAACCAGTCTGATATGGGCATCAGCCAATCAGAGAAGACAGTGCCATATAGAGTTGAGGATCAGCCCCATCTCTTTGCTGTACTTACTGAATCCTTGTCAATGTTCAAAGTTATAGTTAGTATATATGAGTTCCACTTTTGTGTAGCTTTTTTCATATGCCATCATTTCCTGTGACGTTTGTATATCATGTATGGTATATACATACAGTTTTGTTACACGATATGGGGAGGTAGAGTTTTTTCCTACCTTGGAAGGTATGAAAAGGGTTAGCATACATGTCGTTGGACATATTGATTTGTTTTTTTTTTTTTTTTTTGGATCATTTGCATGGAAATATGAAACCACTATTTAAAGGTGAGAAAACAATCAATATTAGCACCATCTGTTGACCATTCCCCCTAACATGTATTCTGACAATCACTGTGATTCCTTATAAAATGGTGAAGCATGCTCAGGGCTCCAAGAGTTCTTTGTGGGAATTGAAGTCGTTTGTGTTTTTGTTTTAGTGATCTTATACAAATGTGTGTGACTATATTCTGTATAATATGAACCACCTTAATAACTGAGTTGCAGAGTTTCCAGGTAGTAATATTTTAATTCACATAAGCTATGAGTAAAGAATTAATTTATGAGCTGGAATTAAGCTATGAGATGGAATTAATATAAATAGGTGACCAAGAGACACTGTGAGTGAAAAGCAGAACGTTTAAATGCAGAACTCAGTGGTAATAGCTTCACAAGGCAAGATAGCCTGTGCTCAGATCCCCAAGGCTCCTGAAGGATGTACCACTGTTAATATCAGGTGCAAGGAAGGGGATACTTCCAGGCAAGAGAAACTTACCTTTGACATCTTATAGAGTTTCTTCTGTACTGGCTCCCACTACCACTCCCTCACTCCACTCTTGGGTCACAGGCTATGTGCCTTCCTGCTTATCAGATATAAGAAACTTGTGCAAAACACCACCCCCTCCTCCCCGCAGCATGTTCCTAGTCTTTATTGTGAGACCAGCTGAAGCAAAGGGGTTAACATTCTTCGGGCAGACCCAGGGGTCAGGCTTGACTGTGAATCATTCCTGCTCCCTTCATTCTGCATTCTGGAGAAGTCTTTGGCTGGGTCTCTCAGTTTCCTAATTTATTCTTTAACTGTCATTTCTGCTGCTCATATACTGAGTTTTTTTTTATTATTGCTAACACTTTTCATTCGTATATTCTTGAGTTGATTAATGGAGGCACTATCTGCTTACATCTGTCTGAGGGTAATAATTGTGCTATCCTAAGGTCCTCTTGTGCTTTGTTAACTCTCATTCATTGGCTATAAGCTCTTATGTTTGTTTTTGTTTTCTGTCCTTAATGGAGCTGACTTTCTCACATTGTTTGGTCATTCCTGAGTGTAATTCACCTTTGTAGTTGAGATTCTGCTGCGTTTGTTTCCCAGCTTTAGGGGAGAAGTGAAATGAGCTGTTGGGGCTTATTACTCCCAATGGGTTCCCCTGAGAATAAGGCAGAGGTGGGAGGTGCCTTCTTGTGGCTAGTCAGGGTGTGCATACCTTTCTTTCAGGGTTCTGGGACCTTGCCCCCTTTCTAACACCAATTGCTCCTGCCTAGAGGAAGACACGTTTTGCTGCCTTGATCAAGGAGGGAAGATGTGTGGTTGATGTGTGCTGTCGGCTGCTCCTACCACACTATTCCAACTGATCACCCTGTAGGTAGCTCCGGGACGTTTCTGGTAGTGAAGCATTTGTGGAGCTGCTCCCACACATTGAGCTAAATTTGTGAGTTTTAAGTTATATCTTTTCTATCATTCTTAAGGAGTTTGGTGGAAGTTGAAGGGGTGGAGACTTGACATGTTTCAATCTGCCAACTTGAAATAGCACAACTTCTTAGGAAACAATTTTGTATCCCTATTACATCCTAGACAAACTCAGGCAAATATGTATCAGGATACAAATATAAGAATGTTCAAAGCAGTATTGTTTTTAATAAATAAAAACTAGAAAAAATCTCAGTATACACCAACAGTTGAATGAATAAAATGTGATATAATCATAATTAGAAGCCATAGACTTCATCAGAAACATAATGCAAACCACATAAGTAATCTTAAATTTTCTGGTAGCCACTTAAAAATAAAAGTAAAATGAAACAGATGAAATAAATGTTAATATCTTTTACTTAACCCTTATATCCCAAATATCATTTTAACATGTAATCATTATATACATTATTAATAAGATATTCCATGTTTTTTCATATTAAGGATTTAAAAATATCCAAAGTATTATCATAGCTACATTTAATCAATATAAAAATTAATGAGAGAATCTACATTTTTTTCCCCATACTAACTCTTTGAAATCACAATTTGGTTGCTAAATTTTATTACAAATACTTGATCAGTATTTAGATTGCATAAAATTTACAGTCGAAAAAGTAGTATCACATATGCAAATTGTTGCTAACATAAACATTTTCCAATAATTACATTGCGTATCTGTTTTTTAAATTTTAATATAATTGAAATTAATTAAATTAAAAATTCAACTCCTTAGTGTCATTAGCCACTTTCAAATACTCAGAAGCCTCATGTAGTGGGACATGCAACATTACATACTACAGGCAAAAGTAAACTAATTTTACAAAATAATGTTGAATGAAAGAAATCTGAAAACAATACATATAATATGATTCCACTTATATAAAGTTCAAGAAGAAGGAAGACTAAACTGTGCTGTTTATGGCTGAAAGAGAAAAGGCAAAAGTAAATTTTAAAAGCAAGGAAATTATTCTTAAAGTCAAGATAGTGGTTCCCTCTAGGAAGTCAGAGAGAGGGTTGTGATTGGAAAAGGGCACATGGGGGGCTTCTGGGATGCTGGCAGGATCCTTTCTTGACATGAATGGTGTTACGTGGGGATCTGCTTTGTAATTATTAAACAGTTGAACAGTTGTTCAATTGAATTATTGAACAGTTATGTATATTTTATGCACATTTTAGTTTTCAAAAAATTTTTAATGGGGGAAAAAAAATCAGATGGCTTGATTTGCCCTGATACAGTTGTGTGTGGGACTTCCCAATAAGGTTTGGGGGAAGAGAGGAGGGAAGATCAGCTCTGCAACGATGGTGCCACCCAGAGCTGGGTTCTAACAGAGACTTCGTGGTCTAGAGAGTAGGCTTTAACTATATGATTTGGTGGGAAGAGTGAGTGGTGTGTGTGTGTGTGTGTGTGTGTGTGTGTGTGTGTGTGTGTGTGTGACGTGAAAAGAAGGTTTAAATGGAAACAGAGCAGAAATCACCATCCCTAAATCAAATAAGAATTAGGTTGTTTAGGTGGCACCATTACCCAGCTTTCCTCCACATATAGGAGTTAGTCCTATGTAGTATATATTGTAGTTATTTTGCATTTTGATCCAGAAATAACCTTTTCATTTTTCAGAATTCTCAGTGAAAATTATTTGACTGAATTACATAAGGACTCATTTGAAGGCTTGCTATCCCTCCAATATTTGTAAGTTAATCATATTTATTTATGAGTTCTTACCTATAAAGTAGATTATCTATAAAGTAATTAAGGAGTTCAAGTTAGATAATCTCTTCAATTTCTTCTAGCAATAAAATTCTACAATCCTGTGAGTCTGTGTAGGGCCCCAGCCCATCACTAGCACTAAATATCTCCTATTCATTTTTAATTTTTTAATTATATAGACAAAGTATAGATAGAAAAATACACTTTAGTTGTAGAGGAAAAGTGGTAATGATGTCTGAGCAATTATAGACTCCCATATGAACCTTGTTATATAAGTGTTCATATACTCTTCTTCTGTATTTATATTTTGTTTATGACTTATGGATCAAATCTGGCCCACAGTCCGTTTTTACACAGCCCATATATTAAAAGTGATTTTTAAAGGGCTGTAAATGAGAAAAAAAAGGAAACGAAGAAAAATATGTGACAGAGACTGTATGTGGCCTGCAGAGCCTAAAATATTTACTTATCTGGCCTTTACAGAAAAGGTTTGAAAAAACTGGTTTAGTGAAATGAGAGGAATTAAAGTTAAACTCAAATTGTCACCTACAAGACAAGAAAATATAGAACACTTAGATTAATATGAATGCCATTAACTCCTAACTTTGATAATTTAATCTAAATTAAATTAACATTTAAATATTAGATATTTAAGCAGATGAATTATGTAAACTGTATTGTCAAGGGACTTTCCTGGTGGTGTAGTGGTTAAGACTTTGCCTTCCAAAGCAGGGGGTGTGGGTTCGATCCCTGGTCAGGGAGCTAAGACCCCACATGCCTCATGGCCAAAAACGAAAACATAAAACTAAAGAAGCAATATTGTAATAAATTCAATAAAGACTTTAAAAATGGTCCACATCAAAAAATTTTTCTTAAACAAAATCAGTATTGTCAAGAACACATTAAGTTACCAAAATAACAAACACTTGTTAAGGATTTCAATGCAGAAATTGTGTTACTAATATTAAGAATGTTTAAGATGATGGTTAAGTGGTATATTTAGAAATATTCACACTAAATAAGCATCTCAGAAATGCCCCTAACAAAAATCTCTCCAGCCTTTTTATTTCTGTTTTTTTGTTTGTCTGTTTGTTTTGTTTTTTGGGCACGCCACACAACTTGTAAGGTCTTATTTCCCTGACCAGGCATTGAACACAGATCCCCAGCAGTGGAAGTGCCAAGTCCTAACCCCTGGATCACCAGGGAATTCCCTCTCCAGCTTCCTTATCAAAGAGGAAATGCTTGCCTAGTATTTCTTTTAATATAGGGATAAACAGATAACTGTGTTTTTTGCTATAAAAGCTCAGTTTTTGTCCTTTGTCCATGGCATCCAAAGTTGTGTATGTCATTAATCTTTATTAAGTGAATGAATGATCCTCTTTAGCAAATAGATTCTTCTTCCAAATATAAAAGGCTTAAGGGAAGTGGGTATAAAGAGCCTCACATAACCCTAAAACTAGTTCTTTTAATTATCAAACCTTCCAAGCCTTAAGCAATCACCTTTATATTAGTCTCTTCTCTGCCATCTGGGCTCCAAACCTTACAAACACAGTTTGCAGAAAAACAAATAAGATAACTGCTCAGTGGACTAAGCCTTTCATTATTTCTACTATGAAATACTTTATAATCTGATTATTTCATGTCAGCATAAGTATTCTCATTCTTAAAAAAAATGCCAATCAATAAAAAAGTGAAAAAAGAATATGCTAATATGCACTATGCCTAGTGTTGTAAACATGAAGATGGGTAAGACAGGATTCCTATTAGAAACTCATGATCTCACAGGGAATAAAACATATAATAAGCTCAAACCATAATCACAAAATGCTATGGAGGCACCATGAAGTAGTAAAACTACATTTATTTTAAAACAGTCATTTCCTCCTTCTCTCCACTCCCCAGCTATTTGTTGATTTTATAAATATTTGAGTTTGCTTTATGTCCTCACGTTGTCTTTAAACATGGTAGACAATGCACATAAGCAGGATCTAGTCCATAATTTGAAGGAGTTTATGCTCAGAGGAAATGGGTTGCAAAAATAGCTATATTTAAAGAAAGAAATGAATATGTGCAATGAGCGCTATAAGTTGGTATTGGAGAACAAAATAGGGAAAAAATACTTCAAATTAGATCAGGGAATATATTACTAGAGAAATGCTCTTTAAACGGGACCTCGAAGGGCCATTGGGTATCAATGACAGACATCTTAGGAAGAATAAGCTTGCAAAAGGAAAGTGGGAGAAAGACAAAGCACAGGAAAAATACTCTGAGTACCTGTAGAGTACAAGTGGGAAGAGTAGAAGGTTAGAGCCAGATCATCTAGAATTTTGGAGGCCAAGCCAAGGATAACATGCCAAGCTATCATGTTATCACAGCAGTGCTTTAGGACATGCTTTAGCCTACAACAGAACCAACCACTTGGAGGGCTTGTGAAAACACAAGCTCCACCCCAGTAGTTACTGATGCAAGAGGTCCAGAGTAGGGCTGAGTGTTTGTATCTTCAATAATTCACAAGTGATGCTGGTATTTGAGAACCACTTCCAAAGAGTTAATCTGATGATCACCTGTAGGATGGCTTAGAAAGGGAGAGGGTAGAGATGGAAACACCAGTCAGAAGACAGTTATACCTATCCAGGTGAAATGAGAGACGAAGCTGGAATCAATGGAAATAAGATACTCAGCTATAGTCAAGAGTAGGTATTTTCAAATAAAAGTCCATATGATAGAAAGTGTAATACTGAATTAAAGTTACATATTAATGAAAGGAGCAACTTCCTTTCAAGTTGTGTGAAACGTTATCTTTTATTTCTTTTGGTAATGAATTGGTCTAGAAAAATAGAACTATACTGGGAAGTGTGTAAATATAAGAATATTCCTTCTAATATTACAAATTATAATGATATATAGAGATAAAAACTTTGAGCTCACAATCTAGAATTTGACAAGACCAAGGTGGAATCTAATCAATGCTTCTGCTCTCAGGAAAGATGACCTCCAAAATCTATCAAGATCTATAGTTTTATATTTAATTTATGAAGATACTGAAGGTGAGACTCTTAAGAGAGGTGAAGGTAGGGTTAGGGGCTCTGGAAGGCTCAAATAGTAATTCCTAAGGTTTGGAGTTTAGACCAAAGCTTCTTATTTATTATTATCATTTTAACCTCTACTAGTTATTCCTACTAAGTAGATATCTAATAGCTAATTGAGGCAATATTTTCCTTTTACTTTTCCTAGAAATTTTTCCTGCAATAAAATACCATCTATTGTACGACGTACATTTGAACCACTACCGTTTTTGCAGTTTATGTAAGTTACAAATATAACTTCATTATATTTGGAATTTTTATAGTTTAATTATTTATAAAATTAATTTGTTACTCATTTTGATTAAAATTGTTGCTAAAATTTTGTAGAAAATCCTTTTTCTCTCTAGCAAAGATTAGTGTGAGAAATATTACACAGATCAGAGTGAATCATTATAGAGCAGTGGTTCTCAACCAGGGTTATTTGGCACGCAGGTGACATTTGGTTGTGTCTGGAGACATTTTTGCTTGTCAGAACTGTATATGATACTGGCATCTAGTGGACAGAGGCCAGAGATACTACTAAACATCCAACAGTGTACAAGAAAGCCTACCACAGCAAAGAATTATCCAGCCCAAAATGTTAATAGTGCTGCCTTTCTAGAGATATAAAGATCACTTAACACAAGTATTTAATGAGCATTTACTATTTTGTATCTAATGCACCACATATATAATCATGAAAGTATAAATCATAATGTCTTCCACAGTGAGATTTCTTTAGTGTATGGAGGGAGTACTGATGTTATGTTTCATCATATATAAACTAGAATATTTGCCAAAGGATAAATGTTCTGAAAGAATACATATTTTTCTTCTTCTTTTGCTGGTGTCTTTTTTTGTAGAAAACTTAGTTGCAATTTACTCACAGAACTTAGATTTGGAACGTTTCAGGCCTGGCATGGAATACAGGTATTACACAAGTTGTAAGTAAAATAGAAGATGAATGCATGTAAAAAAACTGTGTGTAAAAAAATCATGCAGTTATTGGTTAGCTGGTGTAAGCCCAGTATGAATTCTGGAAAGTATGTCTTGAGAGCAATTTACTTTCCTTTCAAATTAGGAAACTAAGGTACAAAGAGGCCAAGAGACTTGTTTAACTCATATATATGAAACATCCTGCTTTCCGTAGTACTGATCTTTGGTACAGGCAATAAAAGGCACCAAGCAAAAACACTCAAATTAGCATTGTCATGGAATCCCACTGATGCTTCTCCAATATGAGAATGGTCCATGAAGTTGCACTTTTGAATTTAACTTGGGTTCCTGCTCATGTGCAAAGTTCCTAACTGCATAAAATGTATGCAACACAGAGCTGCAAAGAACTAAGTATAGCACCGAATTCCTCAGGGAGCAAAAGGTGTGGATGCTTCCCCAACTATTATTAGCTCTTTTAAATGGTAAAGCAGAAAGAATTCCTGAACACCCACCACAGGGCTCTCCCCAGCCACCCAGAACATTATTTTTCAAAAAACATATATCTCTGAAGTGAATTATCTGTGGTCAATAGGAACGTTTGAAGTATGGGAAAAGACGTTGTTTGTGTTCAGCTATAGTGTGAAAAATATGAAGAAAATACATTGCTGTAGCCTAATTCAATATACTTTCTTTGCTGACTACTCTTCAATAAGAAGTGTGGGTTTTACACCCTTTCAGCTCAAAAATTCTGTGATTTCTCTTGACACAAGGAAATGATACTGGGTACTTTCAATGGCCTGAAGGTGATTTTAGACTCAAGGTAAAGGGCTATTCTACACCTGGCTTTGGAAAAGACTCTCTTACCTGTCTTGTGGTTCAGAAATCCAGTTTCACACAGTTCACACATTTTGGGTTAATGAAGGTGTTGAGGCTGTGTCTGGAACTGGATTAGCAATTCCTGCAGATGCCTATGTTTAGCGCCCTCCTTCCTTTCCCTTGTTACTTTGCTGATAACTACCTTGGAGAGAGAGCACCAAGGGTCAGTTTTTCTTTTGCCAGCACACAGGAGAGCGGGCTGATGAGGTCCCTTCACCAGGAGGTTTTAGTAGCGTCAATATAACGTCATAAGCTCACCACCTTTCCTAAACATCCTATAACAGCAAGACTTCCTTATAAGACTCAGTTTCACTATAATTATGTAGCCAACACGGGAAAATACATTGTGGAAATAAAAAAATAAATCAATCAATCACAGTTTAAAAATTAATGAACTCATTCAAAAACATTCACTGAGTGCCATGCCCACTGTGTGTCAGCAGTGTACTAAGTGCTGGGGATACAAAGATGCATAGGGCAGGGACTTTGTCCCCAAGAAGCTTTCATACTGGAAGGAGAAAGATGGATGTTGATGGAAAAACATATATGAGAGCCATTCTAGCATCTATGCCGCAGGGTAACAAGGTTAGGCAGGGGGGTGATGAAGTAGAAAATGGGTGGTAGTTTAGAAAAGATTTGTAATGGAAGAGGCACCAACTTGTTCCTTTTGAATTTGTGTTCCTCTTAAATGACGCAAAAGGTAGTGAAAGAATCAGAACTATCTGGTGTTGGAAATAAATTAGTACTGTACTCCGAAAACTCGTTCACAGTTACTTTTAAAAGATTGTCACAGTATAGTAAGTCTTTGTTTTGGGCTAAGTCTTTCTAATAGACAAAGATAATTTGCTTCAGGAAATATTTGCCATAGTGATATATAAACTTGATTGCATCTCTTTTAAAAGGCAAGCCACCAAGGGAAGATGCCACACTCGAGTTAAGTCATTTTACTACCTATTATGACATATTACTGGGGTGTTTATAAGTTGCCTGCATTAAATAAGTTTGAAAAATGTCCCCAGCTGAGGTGGCTTTTTCATGAATACAATGAAGCTTAGGCTTCAGGGCTCCTCACTTTCATAGGTCCCTTCCAAGGTATTGAGCGGGGTCCTAGCAATTTTTGTATTCATAACTTTGCATGTTTTTATTAGATAGGATTTCCCGAAGTACATGAGGTACAGGCCCCTCAAAACCTTGATTCATCACCGGGTTTCAGGTAATTATAAGTCAGTAGGTTTCTTGAATGCAGCCTCTATGTTATTGACAAACATCAGGTGAAGTAGTTAGCAGTGTGGTAGTCTATTTTAAGACCAAAATCTACCTCAAAGATGAGCCAAGAGCTTACTAATTAATGAAGTACCACTTTTTGAATGGTGGTAGTAATCATATCTCTTTCAGATAAAATAAGGAATGAAATATATTATGGAAAACCATCAGTGGTTGATAATCCTAAATGTTAACTTTACTTTTTTTTCTGACTATAAATTGTTTCTCCTACATTCACTTATGCAGGTCCAGACCGATGGCTTATTTTTAAAAATTCTTTTCATCACTTCATTGGTTCTAACAATACAAGCTCCATGATTTTAGAAACTGAAGGACTCTACAATGTACAAAGGCTATATAACTTAACCAGACAGAGCACATTCACATGCTTCCTTTTCTGTGGTACATCAATATTGTACCTAGAACATAAGCACTAAGAGAGAGTAAGAGGAAAATCAAAGCCTTATCCCTATTAAATTATTTACCCCATTGTTGAGAATATCAATGAGGGAAGTGTGGCCACACTATGAAGGCAAATTGAGCTGCGGTCACAGAGCCACCCTAATGCTCCCCCCATCAACTAGCATTGGTTTCCTTTAGATAGCTATGTACACACAAAAGCTGACACACTTCAGGGTGCTGTCATCACTTTTTGCTATGTACTAGAATCCTGGCAGCTTCTCAGATTTAGAAAGGCATAAACATTAAAAACAAAAATAACTTGGGTCTGCCCTTTGCCGTGATTCAGGGTGGTTATTTTATTTGTAATAGTTCAAAATTTTGAGATTGTCACACCTAGAAACTACCATACTTTTCTTCTCCCAACTGCATCTTATTCTTCCCACCTGTAGTATTTTCTCCCATTGTATGTGTTTATTCACTTTCTTGATAGTGTCCTTTGAAGCACACACTTTTTAATTTTTATAAAATCCCATTCATCTCTTTTTCCTTTGGTTCTTTGTGCTTCTGGTATCATATCTAAGAAACTATTGTGTAATGCAAGATCATAAAGATTTACCCCTGTGTTTTCTTCTAAGAGTTTTATAGCCTTAGCTCTTACATTTGGATCTTTGATCCATTTGGAGTTAATTTTCATATATGGTGTGAAGTGTAGGAGTCCAGCTTCATTATTTTGTGTGTGGATGTACTGTTTTCCCAGCATTATTTGAAAAGACTGTTCTTTCCACATTGAATTGTTTTGGCACGCTGGTTGAAAATCAATAGACCATACACTTGAGGGTTTATTTCTATACTGCCAATTGTGTTCCATTGATTTACATGTCTGTTCTTATTCCAGTACAACACTGTGATTGCAGTAGCTTTGAACGGAGTTTTGAAACCAGGATGTGTGAGTCCTCCCACTTTGTCCTTTACCAACATTGTTTTGGTTATTCTGTTTCCTTGAATTGCCATATGAATTTTAGAATTAGCTTGGCAATTTCTGGAAAGAAGTCAGCTGGGATTTTGATAGGAATTGCAATGGAACCATAGGTCGATTTGGGAAGTAGTGACATTTTAATAAGATTATCTTCCAGTCCATGAATCCGGCATGTCTTTATATTTATTTAGATCTTCTTCAATTTCTTTCAACAGTTTTGTACTTTTCAGAGTGAATCTTGCCCTTACTTGGTTCAATTTTACCCTAAGTATTTTACTTGTTTTGATGCTGTTACACATGGAATTGTTTTCTTAATTTCATTTTTGGATTACTCATTACTGGTGTGTAGAAATAATATTGATCTTATATCCTACAACCTTGCTGAACTCATTTATTAATGCTAACAGTTATTTTCCTAGATTCCCAGGAATACGTCTTGTGGTCTTCCAGTTTCCCAGGAATACATTGGAACATTTCAAAGTCTCTGTGGACATCTCATTCCTCAGCTTTTCTCTTTAAGCTTCTCGGTTGGGCTGTTTTCTGCCCCAAACTGTTATCCATTGCCTCATGCAACCACCATGTTAAAATATTTGCTTGAAAATGTTTTCCAGAAATGCCACCTGAGGAGCGGCTTTTCTCACTACACAGCTCTCGGTCAGGTCAAAGGAAAGCCTTTCAAGTGAGGTCTTCCAGGGGACAACCAGACATGTAAAACAATGACAGTTCTTTGGAATGAGGCTTTGAAGGCCCTCCCAGTCCATGCTGCTCCTTCTGGTACCAAGGATGTGGGCTGTTTTTCAAGGCTACCACTGGCATGGAGAGCAAAGGTCAAGGACAAGTTAAAGCAACACAGATATCATTGTTCTTACCGAAATTAATTTGTTTTCCTTGAAGAAATTTCTCCCCAATGTGCTGCAAGCCTGTTGGTTAAATTTCCAGAGTTCAGAAGAAGTTGATTCTGATTTTTGCCAGTTTTGTTGTTGTTGTTCTTGTTATTGGTATTGTGGCTTCTATGGAGGGATGAATTTTCCGATGTATTTCCTCCATCATTTTTACGGATTTTAGTACAATTTTTTTTTAAATCTCTAAAGTATAAATGACCATAGGCTAATTAAATATTTATCATGGGAGATGATTAAGGAAAAAATAAATAAAAAGAGAAATAATAAATAAAAAGAGAAAATATAAATCTCATAGAGTGTTTCCCAAATGGGTAGATGAAGTTTGAAATGGTATTTCTATATTTAGTGCTCTCAAAATTAAGATTCAAGTAACAGATATATTAACCCCCAGCCTTTTTTTTTTCATTGAGGTTAAACACAGGCTTTAGCGTCAGAACTGAGTTCAAATTCCAGCTCTGGTTCTTACTAGCTTTATGACTTAGGACAAGTTATGTAACTTCTCTGTGCCTCAGTTTCCTCATTTGTACAATGGGGTAATATATCTATCACATAAGGTTACTGTGAGGATTAACTGTTAAATGCTGACCACAGATGACTGGCAACCCAAAATTTATTAGCTTTGATAATTATCTTTATAATATTGTGCACAAATATGCTAATAATTCTTGAGTAGTGTTAACCTAAAGTCAGATATTCTTTTCTTTCTTCCTGTTTCTGTTTTCTTTTTCCCCCCTTATTTGTTGTAAAGAACGATGAAGAAAAAAAATGAAAGAAAGAAAGAACTAAGAAGAAAATCTATTCCAGCATTTTGGAATAAAATTTTGTTCCCCAAAATTAATTTGTTTATTTTATTGATATATAAACAAAATGTTATTTATTTATTCAGCAAACATTTATTAAATACCTGGTAAATATTAGGCACTGTGTCAGGCAGAGGAATAATAATGATAATAAAGTGTGGTCCCTGCTCTCAAGTTGCTGACAATCTAGGAGACTGACAAGTAAACAGGTGATTACATACACAGTAACAAAGGCTGTGATACAAGTATACACATGGGAGTATGTGATGGCAGTATGGTTTCACCAGTTCCTATTGGATTTATCTCTCCTTCTTTGGCTCCAGAGCCAAGGAATTAGCCCTATTTTTGTCTTTAACTGGGTAGTTTAAATCATTAAATTTTAAAAATTTTGTAAAGATGAAAGAAAAACACCTTGACTTATGGAAGACACTAGAAATAGTACTTTTTTACAGAGCAAGGGCTTCCTACCAACATAGTCACTTCGAGGGTTTTGAACCTGAAAACTTCTTTGGCATATTTTTTCTTTGCTAGCCACTTTGTTCTATTTTTTGTTTGTTTGTTTTTTTCTCTTTTCCACTTTATCATCTAGAGACCTGGGTGGTTCCCAATGAAAGAGTGTTTTACAGATTCTAAGGGTGATTTATAGATAAAGACAGAAAATGATTTTTTTTTAACCTTCAAGTTCCATACCAAAAAAAATGAATATAAGATTTCATGGAAGTAATTGAAAATGCAGATAATTTTAATTCCATTCCATTTGTCAGAATTCTCAGTCGTAATCCTTTGACAACAGTTGACGATTCTTATCTTTTTAAATTGCCAGCATTAAAATATTTGTAAGTATTACAACAGTTTCATGGCTTATAGAATAATTTCTTCTCTTCTTTGCTTTCATCAAAGATTGAGTACGCTAAAATGTCATAATTTAGATTTTAACTGGGTTAGTGAAAATAAGAGTTATTGGCAAAGAAAGGGATTAAGAAAGAAAATATACGGGTAAGACAGCCAGCAGAGAATGAGGACAGTGTTGAAGAACACATATAGTTACAGAAGATGTAGACGAATGTAGGAATTTTATTTATCCCAGAAAGCAAAAAGGAATAAGGGGTACATTATTTTTTTAAAAGAGTGATCAAGGAGGTAGATGCAATTGAAAATGAGAAGTTCAGATAATAAAAAATGATTGTGCTGTTCAGCACCAAGGTCATAAATTTGATGACGCAAATTTAAATTTCTTCAATAAGATCTCTTTGGAATTATCATCTATGGAAAGTCAGAAGCCAGAATTGAAGTAATCCCATGTTAAGTATCTTTTTAAGTTTAGAATTTTTGTCTTTGGGTTTTATATCATGCATGTTTGGGCTTCTCCTTCAGAGACATGGGAACAACACAAGTGTCACAACAATTGAAAGCATCCTCATGATGACCCCTGAATTGGAAAAACTGTAAGTTGATTTTTCTGACATTTACTTTCACTCAATTGTTTTTTTTTAGGTTTGTTTTATTATGTTCTTAAATCAGGTTTATTTATGTATAATTTTCATTTAACAAAATTCACTATTTTTAAATGTACAGTGTGATGTGTTTTGACAAACATAGTTCTGTAGCCACCACTGCATTTGAGGTAAAGAAAACTTCTGCACTCTCAAAAGACCCCTCATGTCCCTTTGTAGTCAATCCATCCTCCTCCCACTACCACCCCTTGGCAACCACCAATCTGATTTTTGTCCGTATAATGTTGCCTTTTCCAGAATATCTAATAAATGAAATCATATGGAATGTAGCTTTTTGTTTTTGGCTTCTTTCACTTAGTCTCTTTGGAAATTCATCTGTTTTGTTGCACCTGTCAGTATTTCATTCCATTTTATTGCTGAGTAGTATTCTAGTTGTGTGGATACACAGTTTGTTTACGCATTCATCATTTGACGAACATTTGAGTTGTTTCTAATTTTTTGGCTATTATAAACAAAACCTCTGAAAACACTCACATGTGTGTGTGAACATATGTTTTGTGCGAGCATATGTTTTCATTTCTTTGGGGTTAAATACCTAAGGGTGGGATTGCTTCATCATATGCTAAGTGCATATTTAACTTTTTAAGAAACTGTTAAACTGTTTTCTAAAGTGCCTGTGCCATTTTGCTTTCCCACTAGCAGTCTATGAGAGTTACAGTTAATCCACATCATCACCTGATCATTATATTTGTTTTTAAAAAAAATTTAGCCTTTCTAGTAGCTGTGTAGTTCCATCTCGTGGTTTTTGCCACATTTTGCATTTCTGTAATAGCTGATGATGTTGAGTGTCTATTCATGTGCAGACATCTTTTTAAATGAAGTGTCTGTTAAAATCCATTTTTAATTGGATATTTATATTGAGTTTTAAGAGTGCTTTATATAAAAAGCAATGGAAAATGTCCTTTCTCTCAGATATGTGTTTAGTAAATATCTTCTCCCAGATTGTGACTTATCTTCATTGTATTAAAATGTCTCTGAAGACTAGAAGCTTTAAACGTTTGATGAACTCTAATTTATCAATTTTTTTTTCATATTTATTTAATTTATTTATTTGGTTTGCTGGGTCTCAGTTGCAGCAGCAGGACTCCATAGTTTCAGCTCATGGGCTTCTTAGTTGTGGCATGCGAACTCTTAGTTGTGGCATGCATGTGGGATCTAGTTCCCTAACCAAGGATCGAACCTGGGCCCCCTGCATTGGGAACTTGGAGTCTTAACCACAAGGGAAGTCCCTTAGCAATTTTTCTTAGATGGTTTGTGCTCTTTTGTGTCTTATCTAAGAAATCGTTTTCTGAGACCCCATTGTGTAATCCAAAATCACAAAGATTTTCTCCTGTTTTCTTCCGGAAGTTGTATAGTTACATTTAAGTCTATGATTCATTTTGAATTAATTTTCATATATGTTTTGAGGAAAGGGTCAAGTTTCTTTTTTTTGCTGTTTAAAGAAAACTATTTCTGTAGGACCCTATTGTGACAGTTTATTACACAACTTACTGCACCTTAAATTGTGCCATACCCCCTCCAGTATGGAAAGCTAATAGAAAGTTTTTGTTATGCCAAGGCTAGTTGAGGGGATTGCATGAGATTAGCATGCGGAAAGAACCCTGCATTTAGCAGTCTGTTCCAACTGTCTTTGTCAGGTCAGCTGACAAATGACTGTCTTCACCACGCCATCACTCATTGTTCACTGCTCTAGCATCATCTTCCTCAGCCTCCAACAGCATCTGCCACAATTGTGATCCCTCTCTTGTCAGCTAGATGTCCTCCTCTCTGGATATTAAAAATTATTTCCTGGGGCTTCCCTGATGGCGCAGTGGTTGAGAGTCCGCCTGCCGATGCAGGGGACGCGGGTTCGTGCCCCGGTCCGTGAAGATCCCACATGCCGCGGAGCGGCTGGGCCCGTGAGCCATGGCCACTGGGCCTGCGCGTCCGGAGCCTGTGCTCCACAACTGGAGAGGCCACAACAGTGAGAGGCCCGCGTACTGCAAAAAAAAAAAAAAAAACCACATTATTTCCCTATACTGTTAACACACAGTATTGAAGAAATTAAATTCCTGCACAATAATATTACCTAATAAAGAGTTGCTATTCAATTTTTCCCAATTGTCTCTCTCATATAATATCATTTCTTTTAACAGCTTTTTGAGGTATAATTGACATAGAGTAATCTGTGTTCACACACACACATACATACACACCATGAAGACATCACCAAAATCAAAATGTCCATTACCTCAGAAAGTTTCTTAATGTTTCTTTGTAATTATTGCTTCCAATCGATCCTTTCCCTTTCCAATTGCCATACAACCAATTATGTGCTTTCTGTTTGCATTTTCTAGAATTTTATGTAAATGGAATCATGCAGTGTATACTTTTTTCTAACTGGCTTCTAAGCTCAGCATGATTATTTTAATCTTCATCCATACTTTTGTATATATCAGTAATTCATTTCTGTTTAATGTTGAATAGTATTCCATTATACGGATGTACCCCAATTTATCTATTCACCATTGATGGACATGTGAGTTGTTTCAGTCTTTGTCTATTACAGATAAAGTTGCTATGAATATTTGTGTACAATTCTTTGTATGGATGTATACTTCCATTTCTCTTGGGTTAATACCTGCAAGTAGAATGGCTGGATCATTGGTAAGTGTATGTTTAAGTTTTAAAAAAATACCTATTTTCCATAGTGGTTTGATCATTTTACATCTCTACCAGCAGTGTATGAGAGTTGCATCTTCTTCACATTGCGGCCAATGCTTGCTATGCTCAGTATTTTTAATTTAAGATAGCTTAATATGTGTGTAATTTTTTCTGAGTCTAGCATCCCTAATGATTAATCTTGTCAAACATCTTTTCATATGCTTATTTTCCATATGTATATCTTTGAATCTTTTATCTATATTTTTCTGGAGTTTTGAGAGTTCTTTATATATTCTTGAAATTAGTCCTTTATCCAAAATGTAAGTTGCTAAGTATTTTCTCCCATTCTGGGACTCATCTTTTCATTCTCTCAGCAGTGTCTTTTGCAGGGCAGAAATTCTTAATTTTGATGGTGGCTAATATATCTATTTTTTTCTTTTATGGATTATGCTTTTGGTGTTGTATCTAAGAAATCATGCCTAACTCAAGGTCATAGAATTTTTCACTTGTTTTGCTCTAGAAGTTTTATAGTTTTATGTTTTACATTTAGATCTCTGAACCAATTTGAGTTCACTTCTGTATATGGTTTGGATGGAAGTTCCTTTTTTTTTTTTTTTTGCACCTGGATATTCAATTGTTCCAGTATCATTTGTTGAAAAGGCTATCGTTTCTCCACTTAAATGCCTTTGAACCTGAAAGTCAGTTGTCCACGTCTCTGTACTTCTGAACATTCTATTCTGTTCCTTTGATTTTTTGTGTATCTTTACACTACTATCAAAATGTCTTGAAAGTGTAGCTTCATAAGCGTTGAAATCAGTTACTGTTCTTCAACTTTGTTCTTTTTCAACGTTGTTTTAGTTATTCTAAATTTTATTTCGATATAAAATTTAGAATTAGCTTGTCTATAGAAAAGCCTACTGGGATTTTGATCTATAAATCAATTTGGGGAGAATTGATATCTTATCAATATTGAATCTTCAGATCCATGAATACTATATCTCTCCATTTATTTAGGTCTTCCTTAATTTCCCCCAGCAATATTTTACAGTTTTCAGTGAGCAAGTCTTTTACATATTTTATCAGATTTATTCTAAGTATTTTATATGCTTGATTCTATTATAAGTAGTATTTTGAAACTTTGATCTCTGATTGCTTGTTGAGATAAATTAATCTTTTTTTATGTTGATCTTGTACCCTGCAAACTTGATAAACTCATTTATTAGTTCCAGTAGCAATTTTGTAGATTCTATCAGGTTTACTACATAATCATGTTATCTGCAAATAAAGATAGCTCTACTTCTTCCTTTCCATTCTGAATATCTCCTTTTTTTGTTTCCCTATTGCACTGGCTAGAACCTTCAGTGCAATGTCAAATAGAAGTAATGAGAGTAGACATCCTTGCTTTTGTCCTGATCCTGGAGAGAAAGTACTTTGTCCTTCACCATTAAATATGATGTTAGGTTTTTTGTAGAAGTCATTTATCATGTTGGGGAAGTCTCCTTCCATTCCTAGTCTACTGAGGGCTGTTTTTTTCTTTAATCAGGAATGGATGTTAGATTCTTTCATTCTTATCCTGCATCTATTGCAATGATTATGTGATTTTACCCTTCTTTTCTTTTCTTAATTTGTTTATTTATTTTTGGCTGATTTTGGTCTTCATTGCTACACGCAGGCTTTCTCTAGCTGTGGCGAACAGGAACTACTCTTCATTTTGCAGCGGTATGCAGGCTGCTCATTGCAGTGGCTTCTCTTGTTGTAGGGCATGGACTCTAGGTGAACGGGCTTCACTAGTTGTGGCACATGGTCTCAGTAGTTGTGTCTCACAGGCTCTAGAGCGCAGGTTCATTAGTTGTGGTGCACGGGCTTAGTTGCTCCGTGGCATGTGGGATCTTCCCGGACCAGGGCTGAAACCCATGTCCCCTGCACTGGCAGGTGGATTCTTAACCACTGCCCCATCAGAGATGTCCTGGTTATTCTGTTTTAGTGTACTAAGTTGGGTAAATTGATTTTCAAATATTAAACCAACCTTTCATTCTTGAGATAAACACAATTGGTCATGATGTATCATCTTTTTATATAATACTGGATTTGATATGCTAAAATTTTGTTAAGAATTTTTGCCTCTGTGTTCATGAGAGATATTGGTCTATAGTTTTCTTGTAATGTCATTGTCTAATCTTGATACGGTGAAAGTTGTCCTTATAAATAAGTTGGGAAATATTCCCTTCTCTTCAACTTTCTTGTAGAGCTTGTGTAGAATTGACATTATTTTATTCCTTAAATGTTTGGTAAAATTTATCAGTTAAGCCACCTGGACTTGAAGCTTTCTTTGTTGGAAGGTTTTAAACTGCACATCCAATTTCTTTAATAGCTGTATTCTTTTTTTTTTTTTTGCGGTACGCAGGTCTCTCACTGTTGTGGCCTCTCCCGTTGCAGAGCACAGGCTCCGGACGCGCAGGCTCATTGGCCAAGGCTCACGGGCCTAGACACTACGCGGCATGTGGGATCTTCGCAGACCAGGGCACGAACCCACGTCCCCTGCATCAGCAGGCGGACTCTCAAACACTGCGCCACCAGGGAAGCCCTAATATCTATATTCTTGAATAAACTTTAGTAGTGCTTGTCTTTCAAGGAACTTGTCCATTTCATCTTGAATTTATTGGTATATTTTATATATTCTCTTATTATCCTTTTAATATCTATAGTATTTTTCTGTTTTCCATTTTATTTATTTCTACTTTGATCTTTATTGTGTTCTTTCTTCTCTAACTCTGTGATTAATTTGCTCTCGTTTTCCCAGATTAAGGTGGAAGTTGAGGAAGCTGAGTACAGATTTAGCAATATCCCACATTTTGACATATTATGTTTTCACTTTCAGTGAGTTCAAAATAGTTTCTGATTTCCCTTTTGATTTCTTCTTTGACCACAAAGTTACTCAGAAGTGTGTTGTTTAGTTTCCAAATTTTTGGAGCTTTTTCAGATTTGTTAATTTCTAATTTATTTCGATTGTGTTCAGAGACATATATTGAATAACTAAAATCCTTTAAAAAAATTTTTAAGTACTTTTTAAATTTATTTTTTTGCAGCGTTGGGTCTTTTTTGCTTCGTCGGGGCTTTCTCCAGTTGCGGTGAGCAGGGCCTACTCTTCGTTGCGGTGCACCGGATTCTCACTGGATGTCTTCTCTTGTTGCAGAGCACAGGCTCTAGGTGCATGGGCTTCAGTAGTTGTGGCACACAGGCTCTAGGGTGCAGGCTCAGTAATTGTGACGTACAGGCTTAGTTGCTCCGCGGCATGCATGTGGGATTTTCCCGGAACAGGGATCGAACCAGTGACCCCTGCATTGGCAGGGAGATTTTTAAACACTGAACAACCAGGGAAGTCCGTATTCTTGTATTCTTAATCTTTTGTGTAGATCCATATTCCAATCTGGTGTCATTTTCCTTCTGCTTGAAAATACTTCTTTTAACAATTCTTAAAGTGAAAATCTACTAGTAATGAATACTTTCAGCTTTTGTATGTCTGAGACAGTCTTTATTTTGCTTTTGTTTTGACAGATTTGGATATAGAATTCTAGCTTGATAGAATTCAATTCACTACTTTAAATATGTTATTTTGCTGTGTTCTCATTTACATTGTTTCCAACAAAAATTCTGCTGTCATTGTTATCTTTGTTCCTCTGTATGTAGTGTATAGTTTTTTCCTCTGGCGGCTTTAAAATTTTTCTATTTATTGCTGGTTTTGAGCAATTTGATAATTTTTTGTGCCTTGGTGTAGTTTTGTCCATGTTTCTTATGCTTAAAGTTCATTGATCTTCTTGACTTTGTGTCTTTATAGAGTTTACCATTTTGGAAAAATTTTGGCTATTATTTCTTCAAATTTTTGCATTTCTCCTCTCCTTCATGGACTCTAAGTACACATGTATTAGACCACTTGAAGTTGTTGCACAGCTCACTGATACTCTATTAAGTTTTGTTGTTGTTTTGTTTTGTTACTCTTTTTGTTTCATTTTGGATAGTTTCTATTACTATGCCTTAATGTTCAGTTACCCTTGCTTCTGCAGTGTCTAATCAGCCATTAACCTCGTTCAATATCTTTTTCATTTAGACATTGCTTTTAATGTGTAGAAGTCCAATTTTGGTCTCCTTTACCTTTTCCATGCCTGTACTTAACATTTTCAGTTTTTAGTCTAGGTTTTCTAACATATGAAATACAGTTATAATAACTTTACTTCAGGTATAATAACTTTTTAAATGTTCTTTTCTGCCAGTTCTAACATCTGTATAGATGATGGGTTAGTTTTGATTGGTTGCCTTTTCTCCTCACTGTGGGTCATATTTTCCTACTTCTTTGCATGCTTGGCAATTTTTCATATGATCCCAGATATTGTGAGATTTTGTTTATTGTGTGCTATACATATTTATATCCCTGTAAAATGCTTGGGCTTTGTTTTGGGTGAAATTAAGTTACTCAAAACAATTTTATTCTTTTTAGGCCTAGCTTTTAAGATTCGTTGGATAGGAGTCCAAGGAGCCTTTAGTCTGGAGCTCATTATTTGCAACTACTGAGACAAGTCCTTTCTGAGTATCATGAGGTTTTCCAGTCTGACTTGTAAGAACAGGTACTATTCCTACAACCCTGTGTGATATCCAGTTATTCTTATTATTAATCCTTTCATGTGGTCCTTTTCCTGGCATCAAGTAATTCCTCACACAAATGTACTGACAAATACTTTGTTGAATTCTCAAGAGATCCCTCTGCATATCTCTAGGCTTCTTTCTCTGTGTACTTCTTTTGTCTCTGATACTCTGCTTTTTGAACTCTAGTTACCTTGGTTTTCCCAGATTCTCAGCTCCATTTCCTCAGTCAGGGAGTCCACCCGTCTCTGCCTGGACTTCTCTTCCCTGTACCATGACCTGGAAACTCTCTCAGAGAAGTAAATTAGGGCAATTATAGGGAACACTTCATTTATTTCCCATCTCATGGGGATTACTGAACTTGATTGCCTGAGGTCCAGTTTCTTGGAAACTGTTTTTTCATATGTTCTGTCTTATTTTTTCATTGCTTCAGGTGCAAGGTTAAATTGGTCCTTGTTACTTCCTCTTGGCCAGAATCCAATAACATTCTTTAAGTCTGTTTTGCTTTGATACAGGGTCCAAATAAGATTAAGCATTGCATGTCTTGTCTTTGTTTCCTTTAACCTACAATATTTCCCTGCTATTTTTTTTCTTGGTCTTTTATGACATTGGCATTTTTGAAGAGTCTAAGCCAGTTTTCTTGTAAATTGCCCCACAATCTGGATTTGTCCGTTTCCTCATTAGATTCAAAGTAAATATTTGGGGGAAGAATACTATATGGGTGATGTATTCTTCATACTTCATCACTTCAGGTGGCCCAGTGCTAAGTTTGATCACTTGACTAAGGTGGTATCTTCCATATCTCTCCATTGTAAAGTTATTTTTCCCCTTGGTAATTGAAAAATCATATGTAGGTTGATACTTTGGGATCAGTGAAGATCCTACTTTCAAAAAACTCTTCACCCAACTGTGCATCAATCATAATCCTTGTCTGAATTGATTATTACATTGTTAGTTGCAAAATGACAATTTCAAATTCTATCATTCCTTTTGCATTTATTAGCTGACATTATTTTATAAAGTAGAGACCGCCCACTTTCATTTTGAGTATCATTATGACCTCATGTGTTTTTTTTTTAATTAGCTATGTTATAACTTATTATAATGATAATGTTTTTCTTTGGAATGTTCCTTTTGTCCAGATTTGGCCAAAGCAACCTCTGTTATTGTTTAACCACACGATGCTTTTTTATTACTAGAATAACTTCTAATATATTACTACTCACAAATAGGAACTGAGAAAGGGATTCCAGAAGGTGCCGTCTTATTCAGACTCTTCTTAGAAGTCTGCCTTCTTCCTGTGTATTCTTAACCCAAAGTGAGGCTTTCGGGTTGGAAGGAGATACTTTGGATTTAAACTACAGATCAGTGTCACCCGATTCTAATCCCTATTCCCTTTTTCCTAGGCATACCATGCCTACTGCCATCTTAATCCTTCTGTTGGGCACCTCTCTCCTCCTCTATATTTATTTACAACAGTCAAGAGCAGGAATTGGCAAACCGGCCCCTATCCTGTTCTGCAGTCCATATGCCCCAAGAACTCCTTTTTGCATTGGTCTGTGGTGGCCTTGGCCTACCTCTTCTACCTACTCAAGTAACCCTTTTACCACGAATTTAATTACCTGTGGTTCCGTTTATAGGATCTTACCTAGCCTTATGGCCTGCTGTCTCTGCCAATTTAAAAATATTATTGAGGTTGTCTGTAAGACAGTCAAGCTGCATTGTGACACTGAATGCCTGACAGACATCACACGTTGTGGTGAGTCTCAATTGCGAGATAATAAATTTTTAATTTAATATTTTAATTTTTAATCAATGGTGATAAATTTTAAAATTCATGATGTAACTGCATTATTTTCATTCATACATTCAGAGTTCCAGCTCCCTAAGTTTCTAAGAATTATCCCATTGCTAAAAATCAGATTCTTGTTTACATTATTAAGCTAATAATAGCTCAGTTACATTGTTAGCTTAATAATGTAACTGATCAGCATACATAAAGGAACAAGAGAAAGGAATGGAAGGGGGAAGGGAATTAACATTAATGGCCTCATATCCTATGATGTGCCCTCTGCAAATGAGAATTTATTGATATAGTGCCTCAGTTTGTAAACTGATTTTATATACATTAGGTCTCAAGTACCCTTCGTCTTATAGGATAAGTGTCAATATATTTTTGTTTATTTTGTTTGTTTCTGCAATTTTATAAAGAGTACAAGTGATGCTGTTTTATGTCCTATTTGGAGCCTGAGAGTTTCTGGTTCCATAACCAGAAGCTGCTGCCTAGCCCTTCTAATGGAATGGAGAGCTAGCTTATTCTTAGACTGTCAAGCTCTGAACTTTATCTGAATCTCAAGCTTTTCTATTCACAAAACACTCAGGGGCTTTCAACTGTTTTTCTATATATTAGATTTATTGCTACTAAGTATTTAAAAAGCTCAGGTGCGTGTGCGCAAGCGTAGTCCGCTTGCGCCCCGAGCAGCGCAGGTGCGGTGATGGTGGGATGGTGCAGTTGGTACCTTTTGGGGTTCCCTTCGGGGGTGACAAAAGCTTGCTGGTGTGGGAGCTGAGCTCTGGACCCACCGCCGAGGCTTTGCAATTGAGCCCTGCCGGAGTGGAGGGAAAGGTGGATGAAGCCACCCCGCGCCCCAGTAACTAGGTGCCCCGGGGTACTGCTTCAGTACCTCATCTGCCTGTGGTCTCCGCTGAGAGGAATCTTAGTTCTAGAGACGACCTGAGCAGTCAGCTCACCCCCATAGATTTTTGAGAGTTAGTCCCCAACTGAAGACATTTCCTCCTAATGCTTCTCGAAGCTTAGGATTTCAGAGGGAAACTTGTTCATGAAATGAGAAGTGTTTGGAGTTGCAGGCTCACCACAGTTGCCTGTGGCGAAAGGCTGGGGGAATATAAGGGAATGGGCGGTTTGGTTTCCTGGGCCTGAAATTTACTGCACTTACTTAGCGTGGGACCGCCCTACAGCATTCTCTCTTCACAGTCTTCTCCCGGTTTGGCCTTCTGTATTCGGTCCGACTCTTCCCAAACGCAGCAGTGGGCGGTCCTGTGTTCTCTGCCATCATCAAATTTTATTCAGCAAGGGATGCCCACAGAGCCCAAAAGACATGCGACCAGAAGCAGCTTTTTCACACATTTCCAGTGTGAAAAAGGTGGGTCCAAATGTGGACTTCCTTGCTCTACTGGGATGAAGTGCTGAATTTAAAACTAATAGTCTATCGGGAATTCCCTGGTGGTCCACTGGTTAGGACTCTGCACTTTCACTACTTAGGGCCCGGGTTCAATCCCTGGTCTGGGAACTAGGATCCCAGGGAAAACAAACAAACAAACAAAAAAAAAAACGGCCAGCGTTTGTACAGCACTGTGATGTACAGAATGCTCTCAGATGCACTGCTCCACCGATCCTTCCGTTCCCCAGTTGTTTCTTTCTTTTTTTTTAGATGAAGAAACTCGAACTCAGGATGGTTAAGTGACTTACTTAAGGTTCATGACAGTAAATGTGGAAACTAGAGGCCAAACCCAAACTTAACTGATGTTAAACCCCATGTCATTTTATGCTGCCCCTTAATTTAAGAAATCTTCACAAGAATCTTCCTTATATATACATTTCTGTGGATTCTAAATGTGTTAGGTTGACAAATTTTTTTAAATTAATTAATGAATTTATTTATTTATTTTTGGCTGTGTTGGGTCTTGTTGCTACGCACCGGCTTTCTCTATTTGCGGCGAGCGGAGTCTGCTCTTCGTTGCGGTGCGTGGGCTTCTCATCGCGACAGCTTCTCTTGTTGCGGAGCAAGTGTTCTAGGCACGTGGGCTTCAGTAGTTGTGCCTCACGAGCTCTAGAGCACAGGCACAGTAGTTGTGGCACACGGGCTTAGTTGCTCTGCGGCATGTGGGATCTTCGCGGACAAGGATCGAACCCGTGTCCCCCGCATTGGCACCCAGTCTCTTAACCAGTGTGCCAACAGGGATGTCCCGAGCTTGACAAACTTTTGTCACATGTAAGATAAAGGAGGCTTCATCATCATCATCACTCTCAAACTGCCTATTAAGAACTCACTTCAGATTCCAAAAACTGGGTAAACATTCTTTAATGCATTGTAGAAACCTTCTTCCATATTAACATGCCATCCAATTTTACTTCCCCAGAATTAACATTTCATTATGTTAAGGACCTTTTCAATTCCTCTGAATAAGTGAGTGAGGCTTAGATTTCCCAGACCTTTCCCTTTATAATTGTGTGTCTTCTCTGATTGGCTTCTTGCTCTGGCTACTTCCTACTGATCTTGCTACCTCTTCTCACCCATATTTCTTTACTCACTGATTTCACCTTTATTGAATCTGAGAACTCTCCTCAGATGTGACTCCAGGTATACTACCTCCCACTTCTGTACCCTGTTTAACACCCTCTTCAATCCTGGCTGTACTCCCTGGGATTGAAATGATTTTCTGTCAGACATTCTTTTATTTGCAGACCCTGCGACCATTTCACGTACCACTCAGATATGACAGATGGCCCTGGAAAGATTATGAAACAGTTACTTGGTATCAGTTGTGAGTAATGAGTTTTTTTCTTATATTTGACATAAAGACCAATCCATAAGCATAGATTGTGAGATTTTCACAGCACATAGCCCATCACTGATAGCATAATGAAGAAAATGTTCTCCAAGTCACTATAGAGTTGAGAGGAAAGGGCATTTGTATTAGATTTCTTTATTTAATGCAGAGGCTTAGTTTACTACCCACAACCCCGAAATTTTTCCCTACTTTACTTACGCGCTCTTCTTCAATTTTATTTATTTATTTATTTACTTATTTGCTTGCACCGGGTCTCAGTTGCAGCAGGTGGGCTCCTTAGTTGTGGCTCAAGGGCTCCCCAGTTGTGACATGTGGGCTCCCCATTTGCAGCAGGCAGGCTCCTTTAGTTGTGGCTTGCAGGCTCCTTAAATGTGGCATGCAAACTCTTAGTTGCAGCATGCATGTGAGACCTAGTTCCCTGACCGGGGATCGAACCTGGGCCCCCTGCATTGGGATAATGGTATCTTAACAACTGCACCAGCATGGAAGTTCCAATTATGTGTTCTTTTACTCATTGGCAGGTATCTTCCTATCTTTTTTCCCCTGTGTTTTTTATAAATACAGAAAAGAGAAAAACATTTTAAAATAAAATGAAGGAAAGGCCTAATGTATCTGAGTTTTTCTCAGTAGCATGAAGGGAAATGTTTGCCAGCAAGAACTGTGGCAAGGTTATCCCAGATGTCAACTGTCTCTACTCCCCGAGGGCTCAGAGCCCTTCTGCGCCTTCCTAATTGTCCAGGACAGCTCCATTATGACTCACCGTACAGGACCTAGCCTCCCATGTGGCACTCAACATTTAAAAATTAGTCTTCATTTCTCCTTCCCTGCAGGCAGCTTCAGTTGGAGAAAGTAATTTCATTTTCTTATGTACTCATTCATTCACTCAGTCAACAGACCATCACTCCTCTATTATATGCCAAGATGAATTCTTCTTTCTGGTAACAAGGAAAGAACAATATATGGTTCCTTCAAGCACTTATGGAGCTCATAAACTAGTGACAGAGGAAGAGGCACAAGCAGATCAATAAAGGATTAACAATGCTTTGACTTTATTTGTATTATTTGAATTTTTATGACTAAATTTATATACTACACCCTGTTCAAAATGGAAATAGATGTTTAAGAAAGAAGTAGTGATGTATAAAATCCACAGTAATATGTAAGTTATTTAGAGAGTTAAGACTGGAAATATTTGCACTCTCAAAGAAGCTTGTTAATGCAGATGAATCTATAATTCTTTTGGTTGCTTTATTTACATTTATAGAGGTATACATATTCCCTCTTCTAACAGGGCTTAGTAAATTGGGAAGGGGGTGCTACAGATTAAGGTCCTAATTCAGTGGCAGGTCCATCTTATCTCCTGTTCAGGTCATATTCTCAAGCAGGAGCTGCAGGATGAGACGAGTAAAACAATCCATTCCTTTGCTTAGCCCCAGCCCCATAATAGGCTTCTGTTGGGCTTCCTTGGATGCTTTCATCATCACTTTCACCACCGGATGTCAGGGAACCTTCTGGTTAATCAGGGGCCCTGGAAATGATGCAGAAAAGTACTGGCTTAAAAATAATAAATAACATTTATTTAGGGCTCACTGTGAACTCATTGCTTAAAATGTCCTATTTAATCTTCACAAACACTCTGTGAAATTGGTATTGATAAATCTCAGGTATATCCAAAATAAATCACTATGTAGGGTTGTGATATTTTTAGGTCTTTTATATCTTTAGGTTCATCTCGGCACCAGACATAAGGCAGTTCATCATAATACGCTTGCCCTAAACAGCTCCAGATGCCAAGAATTGGCAAATTACTTCTTTGGTTTCCATGGTGGTCATAAAGGATCATCAAGGTAAACTCTGTAAACTTTCTTTGACTAACCAGACTCCTTTCAACATTGAACTCCTAGACTTTAGAGAGAAGAATAGAACAGGGCTATGGGGAAGAGATGTGGGAGGTTTCCACATGGAAATATCTGAGCATAGGCCTGCCACCTAGAATTAGTGATAATCTCAATGACTTGGACGGTGGTGTCCATAATTTTCTCCAGTATTTGTATGGTGTATCATAAAAAATAGTTGTCCATATCTAGTCATTCATTTGCAAGTCTCAGTTGATTTTGAAGGGATAGCATACCTAAACTATTACCTGGGATTGCTGGAGTTTAGTTT